TGGGAATAGAAGATCTTGAGAACTTGTTTAATCGGGAGGAGTTTGTACAAAAGTGTAAAGAGCATTTAAAGGATTTTTTTGCTATAAACATGAATAAGGGGACATCGATGTCTATGGTTTGGGATGCCAGTAAGGCATATATGAGGGGAATTTTGATTCAATTGAATATAGTTTTTAGGGAAAAAGGGTTACAAAGATGTAGAGAAATAGAAGAAGAGATTAAACTAAAAGAACAAGAGTTGGTTCTTAACCCAACTGATAATAATTTAAAGGTATCCATAAAGATGCTTAAGGAACAATTTAACATGTTGATGGCAGATCAGGTGGCTACCAATCTGTCGTATATGAGACATAATACTTTTTGCAATGCGAATAAGCCTGGGAGGTGATTGGCTTATCAGTTACGAAAGAAACAGAAAGCTAGAATTATACAGAAAGTAAAGTATAAAGGTACTGAGGTTTTTCAGCAAGATTTGATTAGAAAAAGCTTTTTGGATTTTTATACAAAATTATATTCAAGTGATAACATAAAGGGTTTTGACATAGATAAATATTTACAATCAGTACATTTTCCTAAACTCTCAGAGGAACAACAAAATGGGATGAATAGCTTAATTACTGTGGAGGAAACTGGTTTAGCTATTAAGCAGTTAAAGGTTGGAAAGTCTCCTGGAACAGATGGATTGACTTCGAGGTATTATAAGATTTTATCTGAAGAAATGATAGGACCATTAAAGGAACTCTTTAACAGTATTTTGTTGGGTATGCAAGTTCCTCCTTGGAAAAGAGCTTTTATATCATTGATTCTGAAGGAAGATCAGGATCTTACAGAGCCTAAGAATTATAGGCCAATCTCACTATTAAATGTTGATTATAAAATTTTTACAAAAATTCTGGCAAATAGACTAATGCAGGTTATGAAAGATTTGATTCATAGTGATCAAGCAGGATTTATAACAGGGAGATATATGAAACATAATGTTAGACAAATTATTAATTTAATTGAGTACTTGGACAAGAATAACCAGATTCCTGTGGCTTTTATCTTTTTGGATGCTGAAAAAGCTTTTGATCAATTAGACTGGCAATTTTTATTTTTATTGGTAGAGAAAATGAATTTTGGGGATAATTTTTTACATGCACTTAAAGCTATATATCAGCAGCAATCTGCACAAATTGTTGTAAATGGGGGACTGACTGAGAATTTTAATATTCAAAAAGGGACAAGACAAGGATGTCCATTATCCCCATTGTTATTTGTTTTAACATTGGAAATTTTATTGATTCAGATTCGAGAATCAAAGTTAATCAAGGGTGTAAAGATAAGGAAGAATGAGTATAAATTGCGGGCATTCGCGGATGATTTGGTTTTAATTTTGGAACAACCGAATCAAGCGATTGATGGTTTATTAGAACTTATAACACAGTATGGGAATGTTTCTGGTTTTAAAGTTAATAACTATAAGACCAAGATATTATCTAAGAATATGTCAGTTAAGGACAGGGAAAGTTTGATTAAAGCCACAGGTTTTCAGATGGTAAAAAAGGTTAAATATTTGGGAGTATATCTAACTGCTTCAAATGGAAAATTGTATAAGAACAATTATGAACCATTATGGGCAAAAGTTCAAAAGGACTTAAGAGACTGGAAAAAATTGCAATTGTCATTGTTGGGGAGAATTTCAGCCGTAAAAATGAATGTTCTACCAAAGTTTCTTTTCTTGTTTCAGATGATACCTATTCTTAAAAAAGAGGCAAATTTGGAGGAATGGCAAAAGGATATCAATAATTTTATATGGGCCGGGAAGAAACCAAGGGTTAAGTTTAAGATATTACAGGACGCTCGAGAAAGAGGGGGACTTAAGGCATCTAATTTGAAATTATATTATGATGCAGCCGCCTTAACTTGGTTAAGTGATTGGCTTAACTTAACAAATATGGATATTCTTTTTCTGGAAGGTTGGGATTTAATATATGGTTGGCATGCATATTTAATTTTTAATAAGAAAGTCGATCGGACTTTTAAATCACATATTTTGAGGAATGCCTTACTTCGTGTTTGGAAAAAGTATTATTATAGATTAAATTATAAAATACCTATCTGGGGGATTCCCAGACATGCAACTGAGGGAACTTCTAAGGGGACAAATTTTGATAAAATTTCGTATAAAGAATTGTTAATTTGCTCTGGTTCGAATTGGCTTTTGAAATCCCTAGATGTATTAAGGCAGGAAAATATTCTACAGTCATGGTTTCAATATTTACAAATAGTGGACAGATGGACTGTAGATAAGAAAGAGGGAATAACATTAGAAGATAAACAATTGGTTATTCAGATTAAAAATCAAAGTCCGGCTCATATAAAAAGAATATACAATGTCTTATTAGAGTTAGACTTGGAAACAGAATTGGTTAAAGATTGTATGATTAAATGGGCTCAGAATATATAGGAACCGATCTCATTGGATTTATGGAGATAATTTGGACAAGAAATGTTAAATTTACACAAGCTCAAAACTTGAGAGAAAATTTTTATAAAATGTTTTATAGATGGCATTTAGATCCTAAAAAATTATCTTGTATGTATTCTAATATACAGCCCAAATGTTGGAGATGTGGCAATAATGATGCAACATACTTTCATATTTGGTGGAATTGCAAAAAAGTAAAGGCTTTTTGGATTATGATTTGGTGGAACATTCAAAAGATTTTTAGAAGAAAGATAAAGTTTACTCCTCAACTATTTTTACTTGGTATTTTCGTTGACTTAAATGAAAAAGAAACTACTTTGATGTTGAATTTATTAACTGCAGCAAGGTTATTAGTAGGTTTATACTGGAAGAAAGATTCTTTGCCTACTTTAGAAGAATGGATATTTAAAGTATCTAGTTTTGCAGAAATGGCAAAAAATTCTGCTTATTTAAAGGATCATACACAAGAAAGATATATTATTGTATGGAGAAGATGGATAGATTATATTCAGAAAAAGTATGGAATTAAAAAGTTTCATTTATTTTATGAATGAATATTAAATATTATAGAGAATTGTTTTATAGGTTATGGAGTTAAAGGTTAATTATGATATTTTCTTTTCTTCTTTTCTTTTTTTATTATTATAAATTTTGTTATTATTAACCCTGTATTCTGTTCTGGGAAGTGAAGGGAGGGGGGTGGGGGTGGGAGGGAAGGTAAGGGGGGGTAAAGGATAATGGTTGCTTATGAATTTATTTTACTTTATAATTTTATTGTATTTTTATAATGTTTGTATGTTAAAAAATAAAAATTTTCAATAATAAAATAATACCACAAGTAACAGTGATAAACAGGTCAACAACCCAAAAATAAGTTTTTTTCTATTAAAAGAAGAGAAATAAATAGAGGTTAGTATAGCAGGAATGGACATCAGGGGCACAGCATTTGTTCTACCATGATGGGCTCCAATACTGGATTCTCACCCATAACATTCAAGATGACCTTCCAGCCCTGCTGTACAAGAACTTTGGAATGCACAGATTCTTTCAGTGTTTTTTTTTTTTTTACAGATGCAACTTCAATAATTTCCCATTTGTCTTCATATTATTTATCTCAATGTTTGATTTGTAATGTTATGGCAGTCTATGAGAGTATGTTATACACAGAAGCATTCTGAAGAATGTGTTTTTATAATGCCTTTATAACAAAAGAGAAGCTAAATAGAAATTAGAAATGTTATAACATAGAAGGAGGAGACTCTATACCAGTGGTGGCAAACCTATGGCATGCGTGCAGAGGTGGCACTCGGAGCCCTCTCTGTGGGCACGCGCGCCATGCCCCAGAGATGGCAACCATCTTCTTCAACCAGCTGCCCGCTAACTTGCTGAGGTCCCACGTGGCCGGATGCATCCCAGCACCCATGCGCTTGCTGGCCTTTGTGTGTGGAGGCCGATGGTGTCAGACAGCAGCCCCCTGGCCCCTGCCTCGCCTTGCCCTGCGACATGGCACCCCCGCCCTGCCTCGCCTCATCTCGCAGAACCAGCCTCCTACCCACTGCCCCACCAACCAGAGACCCCTGGATCTCCCCCAACTCTGCCCGCCCCCCACAGGCGTCCCTCCCCAGGAGCAACATCAAGTTGGCCATGCCCATCCTGGCCATGCTCACCCATCTGCCATGACCACTGTAGCCATGCCCGCTCAGCAGGCCACACCCACCCAGCGGCCACGTCCACTCAGCACCCGACAATACATAAGTGGGTTTTGGGTTGAAGTTTGGGCACTCAGTCTCTAAAAGGTTCGCCATCAGTCTATACCATTCCAGACAAGTGACTATCCAATCTCTTCTTAAAAGACTCCAGTGACGGAGCATCCACAAATTCTGAAGGCAAACTCTTCCAACTGGTTGTTTGTTCTCACTGTCAGATCCAAATCCACCTCAAGCATCAAGAAGGTGCTCTCAAGTTTAGAGGAGAGCCAAGACATCCCTTCCAGCCCATTCATTCAATTTTTAAAGCTGAAATTATGCTTTTGCCCCTCAGTCCCTCAACTGTCTGCTATTTTTTGTCATTTCAGTAAGAAATACATTAGAGAGGGCTGTCATCCCCAATCAAATTTATTTCTTTTCCCAAACCACTAAAATATATGTACACATAAGAATATACTGCAGACCTTTATGCAAATTCAACACGTAGCATAAGAAAACAGTTTCAATGTGTTCATATGGGAGAGAGAAAATAACAGAGAAAACACTAAAACCACTGCCAAGATATAGTGCCTACTTTCCAATAAATGCTGCACCCTCTGAGATGTAAGGGTGGGTTTAAATGGTGGAGACTGGCTATGTAAGGCAAGTACATTTACCCCAGTTCACTTAAAAATCTGCCCACTGACTTGAAATCACATGCTTGATTGTGGAAACACAACCCCATTTATTCCGTTTTGGTTCAGTGGGTTTTGTAAACCCAGAAAATGGGTTAATTCAATTGTACTCCAGCTGCCCTGCCATCAAATGTGGAAGTCAGGCTTACCTTTTATTGTGCTCTTAAAGGGAACGTCCATATTTGACTGCATCTGTGTCAGCTGGTTGAAGGTGTCCCTCTGAGAAGGATGCAGGATATCCTTTAAGAAAATAGCCATTGATCAGGCTCACTAATGTACAGCCAGTACCATGTATGTCTTGGTGTCTTTTCCGCTCCAGAGGCATGGACTGAGGTGTGCACTTTAGAGAAAGAGCTGCTTGTTCCTGTCAGTAAACAGGGTTGCCATAGAGCTGCTGTGATGAAGCTGTGCTTAAAGCAGCTGCTCAAAGCTCGGGCTGCACAATGCAGACTTTACAGGCTACCCGACTGTATAAGGATTTTTTTCTTCTTCACTGCCCTGGGGATGAGAAGCTGAGCTATAAAGTGAGGGTATTTTATGGCCATCTAATGTGAGTATCATGCTACCTTCAAATCTTGATTATCTCTGGATTAGAGCCTCTATTGCCTCTTATATCACAAAATGAATGTTTAGTCTTTTCCTTTCTGGGATCAGTGGCTAGAAAGGAATACTACTGGCACACTCTTAAAGTGACCTTAGATTTTTTCCAAATTTCTTGTCTTCAAGCAGATCCTGTTATTTCCCTTTTAACTCAGTTCCATTATTTGTTAAGGGAGCAAATAGCCATAAAAACAATCCCAAATATTTTATAGCATGCTTTTTTATGGAGTACTGTTAAAGACCACTTAGAAACTTCAGTTCTCATGGTATCTCCAGACTTAATTCCAAAACATTACTGGACCTCAATCAGCCCTTACCAGTCTGGTCTCTTCCAGATAAGTTGGAACAAGTTCTATGATTTTCCAGCCAACTTCTTTACAGAGCAACACATCATAGAAGGCTGCCCTGGGTCATCTTCTCAAGTACTAGCTCAGGACTCAGATAAACTTCCCTGCTGAACGCTACATCAGTGGCAACACTTCAGAAAATGAGAAGTTGATGCAGCAAAATTTTCAACTCCAATTATTGTTCTGAATTCTACAAAAAAAAAATATTTTTTTTTTTTGAAAATAAGAATGATTGGAGGCCATATCCAACCTGGAAAATAAAAAGAAAGCTGGGGTATTTTAAAAAGTAACCTCATAGTTGGTCTTCTATTCAATGGATGTTTTGAGATTGGTCCTATCCATGAAAGCAATTTTCTTGTAACAGAACCTACATCATGCTTCCCAAATTTTATATCTCTGGGTCTTTCTGGCACCAGGGACCGGTTTTGTGGAAGACAATTTTTCCATGGACCAGGGTGGGGGGGTGGCTTCACGTGCAATCTAGATCCCACACATGCACAGATAAAGCTTTGCTCACTCACTTGCTGCTTGTGCGGACTGGTTCCCAGCAAGCTGCAGGCAGGTACCAGTCCATGGCCCAGAGTTTGGGGACCCCTGGTCTATAGGCCCCAAAGATTGTCTCCTCAGTCAACATTTTGGCCAGCTGAAAGCAGCAATAGCAATAGCACTTAGACTTATATACTGCTCTATAATGCTTTATAGCACTCTCTGAGCAGTTTACAAATGTCAGCATATTGCCCCCAACAATCTGGGTCCCCATTTTACTGACCTCGAATGGATAGAAGGCTGAGTCAATCTTGAACTGGTCAGAATTGAACTCCAGGCTATGGGCAGAGTTAGTCTGCCATACTACATTCTGATATGACATTCTGTCCACAGTTATTTTCAGATCATAACCCCTCCCAGATTTCAGCCTTGAAAGGTTTTGCACACCTCTGATCCTGGCCTTGAAGGATTTTCCGCCCAGTCATTTGAGATCATGGTATATGTATAAACCAGTATTAATAGCCGCCTCTTCTTCCTGGATGGTGGTGTACTGCAATGAGTAAGTCACCTCCTTCTTCGTGTTACTGTATTTCTCTAACTGAGTATAAGATTCCCAAGCAGTATAAGCAGTTTGGTCATCTAAAGAGAAACAGACAAAATAATAACCCATCTGTTGTTCCATGCTCATGCTTCTAAAGCTCCCCTGATGTAAATCAATGTGGTGTTCTCCTACAGCTAGCATGGCATTGTGATAGCTTGTTGGAGCTAGTATTGTGACATCAATGATGTCAGCAATCCAGTTACAATTTCCTTTCAGGAAATTTGCATCTTACAGCTTTGCTAGTTTGGTTGTCTAAAGTGCTTGTTGAGATATAAAGATTAAAAAACTAAGAACATGTAAGTAGCATAGGTAAGAGTGGGATGAAGATTCGCTTACTTAGATAAACATAAAGCTTAGTGGATTTCTAAAGACAAAAAGTGGAGTTGAGAAAGAATTAAAGTCCAAGAAAAAAATAGTATATCTTATAATGGATATAACTAGAACCCCATCTAATGCAATCAGGACTTCCCTTGACATTATAGTGAGAAAGGGCATAAAATAAGTCTTGAGAATTGTACCAAGGACTGTGTGTGGGCAGTAAGATGTAAAACTGGAATTTGTAGTAAAAACAGAAAATAGGAAAAGTTTATTTAATAATAATAATAATAGTAAAGTTGTCTTGGAGGTTATCTAGTCCAACTCCTGCTCAGGCTAGAAACCCTATACCATTTCAGACAAATGGCTGTCCAGTCTCTTCTTAAAAACTTCCAGTGTTGGAGCATTCACCACTTCTGGAGGCAGGTTGTTCCACTGGTTAATTGTTCTAACTGTCAGGAAGTTTCTCCCTTAGTTCTAGGTTGATTCTCTCCTTGATTAGTTTCTACCCGTTGCTTCTTGTCCTGCCTTCAGGCACTTTGGAAAATAGCTTGATTCCTTCTTCTTTATGGCAGCCCCTGAGATATTGGAATACTGCTATCATGTCCCCCCTCATCCTTCTCTTCATTAAACTAGACATACCCAATTCCAGCAGCCGTTCCTTGTATGCTTTAGCCTCCAGTCCCCTGATCATTTTGTTGCTCTTCTCTGTACTCTTTCTAGAGTCTCAACATCTTTTTTACACCATGGTGACCAAAACTGGATGCAGTATTCCAAGTGTGGCCTTACCAAGGCATTGTAAAGTGGTATTAACACTTCATGTGATCTTGATTCTATCCTTCTGTTAATGCAGCCTAGCACTGTGTTGGCTTTTTTGGCAACTGCAGCACACTGTTGGCTCATAGTTAGGTGATTGTCCACTAGGATTCCGAGGTCCCTCTATTTTATTTAGTGTTTCAGTTTCAAGGCCTTCAACTCCATAGCAACTCTGTCTGGCTTACAAATAAAAATTAAAAGAAAACAAAATAAGACCACTAACTGGAACCAAAACTCAAAAAGCCAAGTAGACAATAATCCATTAAAAGAGGCTCCACCCTCAACCTAGCCCAAGGCTTGGGAGAAATCTGAGTAAAACACCATTTACTACTTTTTCATTAACTGATTTCCACCAAACTAACTGAAGTATTCTTTAAACCACAAGATTTACATTCAGCTAGATGATTGACTGTTTGGCAAACAGCAGCTAAGGAAGAGCTTGGAGACCAGGATTCCTGCCTAGGTTTATGTCCTGGAGATGCCAAAGACTGAGCCTGAAAAAGTTTTGCATACAAATTATGTGTTACTACTATTGAGCTATCACATTCCCCTAGAAGGGAAGAGGACCTCTGGAAAGTAAAGAAGCACTGAATAGAAGGCAGGGAGTCAATCAATGGAGAACTAGTCAAAATGTCATGGAAGCAAAGAACCCCCCTAATCAGGATGATTAGACAGGTTAGAAAGCCATGGCCAAGTAACCTGCATTGGAGTGGTACCTACCTATATCCAGGAATATTTGCTAGCTAACATTAGAGTCACTTCTTGAACTGGTTAAGAAAAGAAGTTTCAATGGAGGACTTGAGGGCCAAAGTCAGTGTACTTTTCAAATGTATTCACTTCAAGGAGAGTTTACTGTAAAGTTTGATCCCGGGGTTAAGGAATAGTACAAAACTCCAATAAACACATTTTGTTGTTAAATTTGACTTATTGTTATCAAAGTGGGGATCTTGGCTAGACATGTTGTTCCCAGCAAAAATAAAGACACTGTTCTAACTTCACAGTTTCACTAAGATTTCTGTTACAATTCTTTGCTTGAACCCCCAGAACAGATTGACTAATTTAGATTTCCAGTATATCCTGCTTTTATTTTGTACAACACAAAATGGGGGACATGATTAATTAATTTGTTTAAAACATTTATATAACTGTCCATCTTATAACAAACTCTAGGTGGCTCCCAATAATAATAATAATAATAAATGCACCCTCCTCTTATTTTACTTACAACAATAACCCAAGTCATCCAGCTGGCTTCTATGCAAAAGAGAGGACCAGAACTCATAAAAGAGCCGAGGTGGCACAGCAGTTAGAGTGCAGTACTGCAGGCCACTTTAGCTGACTGTGTTCAGCAGGTCAGCGGTTCAAATCTCACCGGCTTAAGGTTGACTCAGCCTTCCATCCTTCCAGGGTAGGTAAAATGAGGACCCAGATTGTTGGGGGCAATGTAAATATATATATACATTGCTTACTGGTGTACACCGCTTAGAGAGTGCTTGCACTTAAAGCGGTATATAAGTCTCATAAATAAATAAATAAATAAATAAATAAATAATAAATGATGTCCCAGCTTCAGTTGCCAGTCCAGCACTTCAATTGCTACATTAAACTTGTTTTCAGACTAACCAATACTATCTGATACTGTACTTTTGCAGGATAAAGTTTGGCAAATGATACTGCCAGCTAGTAAGAAATCTGAGAGAATAAAAATTGCCATAGTAGAAAGCTTTGTGGGGAAGATTCCCTGAAATTAAATTAAGCTGTCAAAGCAAACAACCCTTTAGTTTTGGCAACACCAGAAAAAGACCTGAATGCTTCTGGCAGATTCAAATCAAGCCACCCTCTTGACAGAGTTACTGCTTGCTTAGGAACTGTTATGAGATGCTGCAGAATATTATATCAGAGTCGAAAATAGTTGGCATGGATTAATCAGGAGAACAAGAAACCCCAAAAGCTGAGGCTACAGAATTTCTCCCAGCCCTTTGGTTGTTATTTAAGTGTAATCTTCTGCCAGATAAAAATGTAGTTTAAAAATGATGATGATGATGATGTTGTTGTTGTTGGAAGGGACTTGGAGGTCATCTAGTCCAGGGATAGGCAACCTTGGCTCTTTTATGATTTGTGGACTTCAAGTCCCAGAATTCCTGAGACAGCATGGCTGGTTCAGGAATTCTGGGAGTCGAAGTCCACAAGTCATAAAAGAGCCAAGGTTGCCTACCCCTGATCTAGTCCAACCCCCTGCTCAGGCAGGAAACTCTATACCATTTCAGACAAATGGTTGTGCAGTCTCTTCTTAAAAACCTCCAGTGTTGGAGCATTCACAACTTATGGAGGCAGGTTGTTCCACTGATTAATTGTTCTAACTGTCAGGAAATTTCTCCTTAGTTCTAGGTTGCTTCTCTCTTTGGTTAGTCTCCATCCATTTCTTCTTGTCTTGCCTTCAGGTGCTTTGGAGAATAGCTTGACTCCCGCTTCTTTGTGGCAACCCCTGAAATATTGGAACACTGCTATCATGCCCCCCTCATCCTTCTCTTCATTAAACTAGACATACCCAATTCCAGCAACCGTTCCTTATATGTTTTAGCCTCCAGTCCCCTAATCATCTTTGAACTCTTCTCTGTACTCTTTTTAGAGTCTTGTTCTGTTCTCGATGAAAAGGCATTGAGATGAAACAGGAGTAACAACAGTCTTCTCTTTATTCAATCACCAACAGAACCAAAATCAAAATGGCATGGATTCCTTTTATACCCCTTTGCAGGACAGTGTCAGCCAATGAATGCAACGTATTTCTCCCACCTTGCGCATATGCAATAGGCTGGAGACAGCTTGTCTGGTCCTAGGCATCCACGTGGTCTGCCCGGGCCTCTCTGCAGCTTCCTGCACCTGCTGAGTCACTCAGCAGGCCCAGGACATAACACCCCTCCCCTCTTATTTCAAAACATAGTACTTAATATTTTACACTACTACAAATCTAATACATCAATCCTTCATCCACAATACAGTAATACATACTATTTTGCATTACTATAAATCTAACACTCTTCTTTTGAGTACATTCTTATGTCTAAATAACCATTAGGCCCGTCTACCTATTGACAGGAACCTGTAAGTGTTTGGATAGACCTCTGGCCCGCTCAGATCTTCTTGGAGCAGGTTTGATTGCCTGGTCTGCAAGTTCGCTTGCCTGGCTCGGCAGATCAGGACTTTGATGCCCCCTAACTTCAGGTGACCCTCTATCATGCTAACTGGCTGGATCCTGTAAACCCAGACCAGAGTTCCTTGGTGGGGTGGAATTCCCCAAGTCCACAATTCCCCAAGACCCCTCTTGGGAGCACTGTCCTGTGAGCCCAAGACCAGCAGATGGAGTGGCCTGAAAAGCCAGTTGCAAGCAATGTCCCATGGACCTGGTGCCTGTGCCTGAATCAGAAGCCGCCTCAGTGGCAAAACCCCCTACTGGTGCCTGTGAAGCTCCACTTTTGCGGACAGACTGTGGTCCATGATCGTAATCGTGGTCCTCCTCCCCCCGAGAGCAGAGTCAGAAGCGGAAGTGTGGCTGGGAAGCCTCCAGCACAGTTGGTCGATGTGTCGACAGAGCACCCAACCATCATCCAGGGCCACTTTGTATGACAGCGGCCCAGTGACTTTGCAGACCACTGCTGTCATCGAGAGATGTCCAGGTCCATAGTTCCTTGCTCAGACTGAATCGCTCACCTGTAGTCTCCTAGGTGCCCGCGGCTGTGACACCTGTGAAGCCACCCGGTCTGGGTGCAACCTGTCCAGTTTTGTAATGAGTCTGCGACCCCAGTGGAGTTCAGCTGGGCTCTTTCCAGTAGCTGTGCAAGGTGTGGTGTGTTGGCAAAGAAGAAAGTCAGCTAACCTGTGATGCCAGCTTCCATGAGTGATCCTCTTTAACCTATGTACAGGAGCCTGGGGCATTTCAGGCCTAGACTG